CCAGTCACCGCCGAAGGCTTCCAGGAGCGAGTGCGGGCGCAGCGGGCCATGGCTGAGCAGGAGAGCAAGGGCTCGGCCACCTACTGCACCGTTTGCAGTAAGAAATTCGCCTCTTTCAACGCCTACGAAAACCACCTCAAGTCCCGGCGGCATGTTGAGCTAGAGAAGAAGGCTGTGCAGGCCGTGAATCGGAAAGTGGAAATGATGAATGAAAAGAACTTGGAGAAAGGACTGGGTGGGGACAGTCTGGACAAGGATGCCATGAACGCGGCCATCCAGCAGGCCATAAAGGCTCAGCCGTCTATGTCTCCCAAGAGGGCGCCCCCAGCTCCTATAGAGGAGTCCGGGAGTGCCGTGGCCGTGGCTGCCAGTGGCCGTGTGACTCACAACCGAGACCCGACAGACAAGCCGCCCCGGCTTCAGTGGTTTGAACAGCAGGCGAAGAAGTTTGCAAAGCAGCAGGAGGAGGACAGTGAGGACGAGGAAGACCTGGATGGAGACGGTAGTGGCTCTCTTTGGGGGAGGGAGAAAAGAAAAGTGGCACCCCTTAAGTTTCCAGGTTTACACTTCAGGAGGGGATGTCGGTGTGTTTCAGTTTTTAAGTGAAAGTGGTAAGTGAAGATAGGTTTGGTGCTTTCCGAGGTGCCTTATCTGGCCAGCATCCCCACGGGGAAATTTGACTGTTTACTTTTGTAGATTCAAGGCCTCAAGCCTTAGGTGGAAAAAGAATAGGTGCTTAATACATATTTGTAGGATGAATTGATGCTCTCTCTGTTTTGGATGGGTAGGTGGCTTTGTATTTAATTTAGTTGACTAAAACAGAATGAGGTCTCAAGGGCAGCCAGAAAGCCTGAAATGTGGCATTTGGGCTATTATTCCTTCCTTTTCTCGTTCTATATCCTATTAATGGTAGTATTGTATATATTTATATCTTTGTGTTGCTATAGCAAATACCTAATGCTAGGTAATTTATAAATAACGAAAGTATATTTTCCCACCGTTCTGGAGGCTGGGAAGTCCAAAATCAAGGCACTGGCCAACTCAGTGTCTGGTGATGGGCGGTTCCACACATGGAGTTTTCATGTAGTATCCTCACTTGGTAGAAGGAGCAGAGGGGAAAAAGATGGCTAGCCATTTCCCCCAGGCCCTTTCTTTCTTTCTTTCTTTCTTTTTTTTTTTTTGAGACAGAGCCTCAAGCTGTTGCCCTGGGTAGAGTTCTGTGGCATCACAGCTCACAGCAACCTCCAACTTCTGGGCTCACAGATTCTCCTGCCTCAGCCTCCTAAGTAGGTAGGACTACAAGTGCCCACCACAACACCTGGCTATTTTTTGGTTGTAGTTGTCATTGTTGTTTGGCAGGCCCTCAGGCTGGATTCGAACCTGCCAGCTCAGGTGTATGTGGCTGGTGCCTTAGCCACTTGAGCCACAGGCGCCCAGCCCCAATGCCCTTTCTAAAGGACCCTAATCCATTTATGAGGACTCTGCTGTTGTGTCCTAATTACCTCCTAAAGTTCCTGCCTCTTAATTCTACTTCATTGGTTATTAAGTTTTTTGTTTGTTTTTTTTTTTTTTGAGACAGAGTTTTGTGTCACCTTTGGTTAGAGTGCGGTGGCATCACAGCTCACAGCAGTCTCAAACTCTTGGGCTTAAGGAAGTCTCTTGCCTAAGCCTCCCAAGTAGCTAGTCACAAAGCCTGGCTATTTTTTTGTTGTAGTTGTCATTGTTGTTTTAGCAGGCCCAGGCTGGGTTCAAACCTGCCAGCCCCAGTGTATGTGGCTGGCATCCTAACCACTGAGCTATGGGTGCCAAGCTGCTTATTAAGTTTTAACTTACTCATTTTGGAGGGACACATCCAGTAAAACCATAGTAGTTCATACAATAGCCACCACCACATACACAGTGGCTGCTGTAGGAACTGTTCGTGAGAAATTGTAGATTCAGACATTTTTCTGTCAGTTTATAAAAAATATTCAGCCAGATCTGAGACAGCTTAACTATGTGTTCAACTAGGCTAGGCTAGGTGCTGTGAGGCATACGAAAGGAACAAAGGACACCTGTGTAAATGAATAGCTAAAATTGAAATCTTGAAAGAGGATTTGTCCCCAGGGGCATGAAACTGGGTCCCTATGTCCCCAAGTGTAGGACTGTGCTACCTCATAGGAATCTTTGTGGTATCTTTAATTTTGATTAACAGTTAAACTAAACTTTGTCAAAATTTTGATTTGAAGATTGGGAAGATATTGATTCTGATGAAGAATTGGAATGTGAAGATACGGAAGCAACGAATGGTGTGGAGGAAGAGGAGGAAGAGGCTGTAGAAAGCCCATCCCTTGGTGCCATCCCTGTCACAGACTGTTTATTTTGTTCCCATCATTCAAGCTCACTCATGAAGAACGTTGCTCATATGACAAAAGTCCACAGCTTCTTTATTCCTGATATAGAATATCTTTCAGATCTTAAAGGACTGATTAAATACTTAGGTAAGTACATTAATGTTTCTTTTAATGAGGAAATACCACATTATTGGAGGATTGGTCCCATGGAATTATTGTTTTGCGTTTCTTACCAATCTTTGAATTGATTTCTTGCTTATTTTATGAAAACTAGAAACTTAACGAATGTTTTTTTGAATTGTGGAGATAAGTGATAAGACTTAATCTGGTTGCAAAAAGCTTCTTTGATAATTTTTTCCTCAAATTTTTCCAGGAGAAAAAGTTGGTGTTGGGAAGATTTGCTTGTGGTGCAATGAGAAAGGGAAATCCTTTTACTCCACAGAGGCTGTACAGGCACACATGAATGACAAAAGCCACTGCAAGCTCTACACAGATGGGGATGCTGCTTTGGAATTTGCAGATTTCTATGATTTTAGGTAAGTATGGTTTGTGTTATAAAGTGAAGTAAGGTCCTCTTTGTATTGAAGTGATGGTAAATATACCAGAGTGACAGATACGTGACTGGCACTATACAATATATTCTTTTTGCTTTACTTTTTAACTTTTATTTACTTATTGTAAGACAATCTTCCTCTGTTTCCTGGGCTGGAATGCAGAGGCTTAGTCATAACTCACTTCAACATCAAATTCCTGGGCTCAAATGATCCTTCTGCCTCAGCCTCCCTACCATATTAGTGGTATAGGCACCACTAATATATTTTTTTAAGAGATGGGGGTCTCACTAACTCTTTTACCTAAGGTAGTTATTTTCTACCTGTAAGTAGGAAACTCAGTTTAACAGAGTTTATCACATCCAGTAAAGAGACAATCTCAGGCCCAAACTGGTTTGTCTGACTTGTTTTGGGGTTTTTATTTATTTTGGGGATGGGATATGTGTGTGTGGTTAAATTGTCAGGATTTCAGTTTTGTCAGTTACCTCATGAACAAAGGTACAGAAATTAGGTTTTACATTTTGGGTTCCCTGAGAGTCCTTCTATCACAAGCTGTCTCCTGGGAGAGTGGAATCGCTAAACTAGGCCAGAACCAAGCATTTGGTGATGAGATTATCCCATAGGTGGTTTACTCCTAAGTAGAATCTTGAGTAGTTTATACATCACTCAACAAATACATGCTATATGTTCATGAACAACTAGTTCCTACTGTCAAAATTCCTTTAACTTGTAAGATATAAGTGGTGTGTATAATTACCATGCCAGGCACTCATAGTCCAAGTGATACAGGTGTTCAGAAAGGTCTTAGTCTTTTAAGTCTTCCTTTTGCATTTTCACCCTGATTGCACATTTTCAGCTGGAGACTTGCCATCAGTAGGTGTCACTGAGGGTTTGGGGGTGGGCTAGAGGTGGTGGTAGTGGAGAAGATGATTAAGTGTCTGCTGGAGGTGGAAAGCATCTTCTTCCAGGCAAGAGGCAGTATTTATCCCTTTCACATTTCCTTTCAGGTAGCAGTATTTAGGACTTTTTGATCAGTGTTGTAATCAGAGTAGTCAAAGCACAGACCATAGATGGAACAAAGTGGTTGCAAACAGCAGCTAGCTTAGACTGTTGTAGCATTCAGTCTCACAGATGTCAACAAGACTTAGATATCCAACTGCCTCCTTATAATGTCTATATAAGTGTCCAAAAAGCATCCTTAACAGGTCCAAAATCAAACTGCTGCTATTCATCCTAACCTGCTCCTCCCTAACTATGTAACATCTTTGTCCTTCTAAGTTACTTAAGCCAAAAGTGAGCCACGCAATCATCCTTTATTGTGTTTTCTTTCATGCTTACGTTAAAACCATCACCAAATCCTGTTTATATCTGCCTTCACATTCGGAGTATGACTGTTTTCACTGCTTCACTGTGACTACCTAGGTCCAGGTCATCATTACCTTTCACTTACCACCTCCTACATTCTGAGAACTGTGGAGACACTTTCAAAGCTTCAAGTCAAGTCAAGCTACTCAGTCTTCCAAAGACTTCCTGTCTTACTCAAAGTAAAAGCCAAAGTGTAATGGCTTATAAGTCCCTGCATGATCTGGCCCCAGCTATGGTTCCTGTGTGTTCTATTTCTTGCTTTCTGGATACCTAGCTGTTGCTCTGATCTCTGATGAGTGAAGTGTGTTTCTCAGAACCTTTGCCCTTGCACTTTGCCTATAATCCTCCCTCCAATAGTTACGTGACTCACCTGTTGACTTTCTTCCTGCATGGCTTGGTATAAATTTCACCTTCTCGTTGTGGCCTTTTTTTGACCATCTTTCATAAAATAGCAACACCGCCCAATTCTTCTCATCCTGTTTTATTTTTGCTTATCCCTTATAGGCATTTTACGTATTGTATGTTATTTATTACTTTCTCCCTAGAGTCTAAGCCTCAAAATAATGCAGCCTTTTGTTGTCATCATTTACATATACATAAACTACATTTACATATACATGTACATGTCATCATATACATCATCATAATTGTTGCTGAAATTATTCATTTAAATTAAAATATGTAATTGATGTAAAGGGTTCAAGAAGTAAATTTCTTTTAGTCCAAATGATGCTTTTTTAGACTTCATTTCTCTAAGAAAGAGAGTTATATTCTGTTGATGCCAGAAATTAGAAATTGTGTGATTCTTTTTAACAATGAATATTAAATTATTTATTTCCCTTAAAAAGCAAAAGTTGGCTGGGTGCTGTGATGAATGCCTATAATCTCAGCTACTAGGGAGGCTGAGGTAGGAATATCACTTGAGCCTAGCCAGAGGTCCTCAAACTTTTTAAACAAGGGGCCAGTTCACTGTCCCTCAGACCATTGAAGGGCCGGACTGCAGACCCCAGGACCAGTTGGCTGCTAAGCAGGACAGGCAGCAGTGGCAAAAACACCCGGCGGGCTGGATAAATGTCCTAGGCGGGCTGCAGTTTGAGGACGCCTGGCCTAGAGGTTCAAGATCAGCCTGGGCAACATAGTGAGACCTTGTCTCAAAAAATGAAAATTTCATAATGCTTAATAAATGGAAAGTAAAAAAACCTTCCCATAATCTGTACTAAGTATATAGTCTCTTTTCATTATTCCCTAAACAATACAGTATTAGTATATATAGCATTACAGTGTATTAGGTATTATAAGTAATTTAGAGATGATTTAAAGTATATGGGAGAATGTATGTGAGTAATATACAGATACATGTCATTTTATATCGGGACCTTGAGCATCTGCAGATTTGGGAATTCAAAGGAGGTCCTGGAAGCAAGCCTCCATAGATACAGGGATGATTGTACTTTTTATATCATAATTCAGTCCAGTGAAGTTTTAATCATAATAAGCACCCACATGAAGAAACAGAACATGAGTAATACCTGAGGTTTCCCTTTTGCATCCTTCCAGGAACTACTCTCCTGTTTCTGAGAGTAACCATTATTCTGACTTACAACTGTATAGATTGGTTTTGCCTGTTTTTGTACTCTGTACATCATAAAGAATGTATGGATCTGGGTTTTTTGTTTTTTTTTTTTTTTTTTTGCTCTACTTTACATTGGAGAAACTCATTCATACTATTTTATATAGTAGTAGAAAATTCATGCTCATTGTTGCTGAGTTGTTCTCACTGTTGATGTGCATTTGGGTGGTTTCCAGTTTGGAGCTATTACAGATAATGCTGCTACATTTTTCTAGTATGTATCTTTTGGCAAATGTGTATACTTTATCTGTTTTGTGTATATGTAGGAGTTAGACCAGAGGATGTACATATGTTTGGTTTTAGAAAACACTATCAAATTGTTTTCTAAAGTGGTTCTCTATACTCCCACTTGTAGTAAGGGAGAGATTTTTGCTTTAGCCACTTGGGTGGGTGTGTAGTGGTTTTAATTTGCATTGGATGATGATTAATGTCATCAGAAGCCTTTTTTTACATTAATTGGCCGTTTGAATGGATATCTTTTTGTGAAGTGTCTGATCAAGTCTTTGGGTCGTCCAGCTTACTGTTAATATTTTAATGTGCATTTTCTCAGTTTTCCATGTGTATGTGTGAATATGAATTTGTCAACATATCTAGAAACATAGAGATTGTTCTAGACAGCACTGTCTAATATGGCAATTACCAGGTGTACTCATGCCTAGTTGAATAAATTTAAAGTTAAATTAAAAATATAACAGTTCATTTCTGTAGTAGTCACACTACCAGCATTTGAGAATTCAGTGCTTGAAAGCCTGTGTGACTAGAGTTGCCATAGTAGACACATAGATATAGAGCATACCTGTCATCACAGAGTTCTGTTGGACAGCACTGTCCTAGAACTTGTTTTCATAATGGTGAAATTGAACAGAGCATGTCCATCCCTACATTCTTCTCTTCCTCCATTTGGCAACCTTCCTGAGGAGAAAAAAATAGGAGAAAGAATTTTTATTATAAACCATTTGTTCACTTTTACTTTAGAGAAAATCCTAACAAGTTATTTTCTTCTCAAAACCTTTCAGCTTGTTCCTTTGGGTAGTTATTGGGTTTGCCACATTTGCAAATACAGTGTATGTTTCTTTAATTCAGTTTGTGGTATCAGTGAACTTATTAGTGCCATTTCACTGTAAACAGGAGTAGCTACCCAGATCACAAGGGAGGAGAGGATGCCAGTGAGTCCGAGGAGCTGCCCTTGGAAAAGAACTTGGAGTATGATGATGAAACCATGGAACTGGTTCTGCCTTCTGGTAAGTGTATTTGTCAAAAATAAGTAGCTTAATGCCAGTGGGGTTGAGGGGGAGGCATGCCACCATCAATTACCTTCCATACTGAGAGAAATAGATCATAAAACTAAAAGTGTATGTTTCTGTTCTCATGTACATGATAAAATCTGAAAGTTATTTAACTCTTAGTTGACTGGGCTGTTTTGTTTAAATTGGACCACGGGTTTTGCTGTGTTATGACTCAGAATGTTTTGATCAGGCAGTTTTCTTCTTTTTTTAAAATAGACTTTCTATTCTTCTTTTTTTTTTTTTTTTTTTTTTTTTTTGCCCCATCTAGTTTTTTCTTGTTACTCTTATCCTATCAATCAGCTCTTTGAACTGATTTCTATTTCTTTATGTTGCTTAGACGTCCAGATAGTCTGGCATGGGTGTATATGACTCAAGGTGGAAATTTTTCCCAGGTATGAAAAGGTAAAGAATAACTATGAATATAGGAAGCACCACTGTTATTGTATGGGAAGAAAGAATTGTTGCAATTAGCTGATAGGAATAGGGGAAGCTGCAGAAGACATTATTTGAAATCTGAAAGAGAATACAAAAGTAGAGATGATAATAAAGTGCTAATAATACCTGGTCTTTTCTGATCAGTTAGCATATTCAGGCAAATATTTTATCTTTACACCAAAAATATGTGTTAGATTTAATATCTTCATTTTAGGGTGAAGCTCAGAGAGGAGTAACTTACTTGAGGTCGTAGTCAGTGAAGTCTTTTCCTCTCTTTCCTACACTTTCTCAGGAGATTTGTAGTAATGATGCAGCTAGGAATACCCTGTCAGTGGAGATGTCTGCTTGGAACAAGCCTCTCACAGGGCTTTCTATGTAGAATATCCCCGCTTAGGACAGACAGCCATCCAACTGAGAGCAGAACTGCTATCCCAGTGCATATTCACACATAGACATGGAAAACTGAGAAAATGCACAGGAACTTTATCTGTTTTGTGTCTATGTAGTAGTTAGACCAAAGGACGTACATATCTTTGATTTTAGGAAACACTGTCAGATTGTTTTATGAAGTGGTTCTCTATACTTCCACTTGTAGAGGGGGAGAGACAATTTTTTCTTCCCACACAATAAATAAAGCCATGAAGGCTAAATGCAGCTTTTAGAGTGGGACAGTAGAAGGAAAGGGCAGGCACATCTGTCTTGAAGATGTAGTTTTTCCTACAGTGACTAAGAAAGTTACAATGCAGCATAATACCATGGCCTGTATAAAAGACCGTGGTAAAACCTAAATGCGGTCACAGAAAACCTAGTCTTTCTCTGGTGAAGGTACCTATATAGAACATGAAAAATATGTTCGATGACTTATTTTCCAGGTTTGCTTGTTTAGCCTGTTGTCTCATTAGCTTCCACTTAACTGTTGGTTGAAATAATGACGGGCCTTAAATAAGTTGAATAAGATAATCCTCATAAAGCAGTGTCTGACATGTAGTGGGATCAGTCTAACGTTCGCTTCACTTTGCATCTACTTTAGCACATTATATCACAAAAGTGTGCATAATAAATGTATACTATTTAAGAAATACAGTGTATTTGAGAGAAGTTTTCATCTGTACTTTAAACTTTAAAAAGAAAGACTCCTCAGCTATATAGAAAATCTATGTAGAAAACACATTTTCCTCTGGTGATTGAGTGTTCTAATGTTAGCCAAAGTCAAAACTAGGTATCTTTTCAGGATGCTCCCTTCACCTCCACATTAAGATGATTTGGCAGGTCCTAAGTGTCTTTTTTGAATATTTTCTCTCCCTCTTTATTCATTTGTCTGTATCACCATTACAGCTTCCTGTCTGGCCATCTCTAATCTGGTTTCCACATGCCCCAGGACATTATAAATGCCAGGATATTTTCTTTACCCTCTGGAATTCCTTCAGTGGAATGTTGCCTTAGGAACGAAATCTTACTTAGTTTCACCTCGGTCGGTCCTTCAGGTGTCTTGTGCTATTCCTTTCCACACCCTCCTGGAGTTCTCCTCTGGGCCTCTGCACGTGTGCTGCCTCTGTGTGACTCCTACTGCTCCGGTAGCACTATTTACTTGGCTCAGCCCTCCAGGAAGCCTTTCTAAACTCATCTCCTGTCCTTTTCCTAGGTGATGAGAGTCCCCTCTGCTCCCAGGACACTTGCTTATTTGTTATGACATTGACCTTACTCCTTTGTGATCCTTGGCCTAGTTGCCTGCTTCCTCCATTACTTTGAAAAGAAAGACTGATTCTTTTTCTCTTCATCTCATTACTGGGTCTCAGAGATACAAGGCTGAGTAGATGGAGGTGGCTTTTAAAAGGCAAGCAAGGCTGCTTTGCTTCCCTTGTGCCTGTGCAGTAAAGGAAAAGGACAGCAGAAGGGTTCTTGGGGGCTTGGAATCTTATTTGCCTACAGTACCCTTCTGAGCCCATGGAGTAGATTGCTTTGCCACTGTCATGTATGGTCAGAGAAGAAAGTGGCCTGCGATTAGATCAAAGGTCCATTTTTCTCTGCTTTTTATAGCCTAGGTTGCCTTGCTTACAGCCACAGGTATAATTACTGAGTCATGTTATTTGAAAGGATTGGGTGGTAACTTCAGGACATCTCTTTGACATAGACTTGGAAACAGTGAGGTAACAGGTACTGCTAAATGCCATACTTCCCAGTAGACTCAGGAAGGACCTAACCAACAACCAGCCAGATCTTACTCCAGGGACTCTTAACTAATTGTCACGCACATATTTTTTCTGTGGGAATGGGTACTTTAGGGGGGGAAAGGCATAGTTTCTTAAAAGTGTCTGTGACCTGGAGAAGATTAAGAGCCACTCATAAAAATATTCAAATCCAAATTATTTATTCCCTTCTGGGATTATCACAGATGACTGAGACCTTACCATAGAATGTGTTTAAATGACAACAAACAGGTTCTGAGGAATAAAAATCTATCCGTGTTCTGAAATTTCCTGGATCTTCTAATGTCTCCCATACTTTT